AGAATGATCTTTAGAGATCACTGACTACATCTAAGGGTCCTTGTTTTACTTTAAAATATCAATATTTACATCTTTAAAAATATGTAGTAAGGCCGGGCGCAGTGGCTCACATCTACAATCCCAACACTTTATCTCTACAATAAATCAAAAAGAATTAGCCAGACATGGTGGTGCACACCTCCAGTTACCTGGAAGGCTGAGGCAGAAGGATCAAGGATCACCTGAGCCCAGCAGGTCGAGGCTGCGATGGCCGTGAGCATGTCACTGCACTCCAGCCTGGGCAACAAAGTGAGACTCCGACTCAAAAAAATAAAATAAAAATAATAAAAAAATAAAAATATGTAATAAAGCACATACATTTTTAAATCATATGAGAAATGTATAAGCAAAATGTTTATCTGTATAAAGACCAATGCCCTATAGGTTAATGAGAAAAAACACTTTGTTTTTCCCTACAAAGTTCACTCTCTTTTGGTCTATTTAAAGAAAACCTAAAAGGCAGCATTTTAGGTAATCTGGATGTTAAAATAAAAAAGCAAAGAAAAATCTGCAGTATGAAAAAACCTTACAGTTTTTCAGTATGAGTAATGCGATTAAAAAAAAATTTTCTAGTATTGAGGGAAAAAAACATCAAGTTCAATAAATTCCTTAAACTTTGATAAAATAGAGATGTTTTAGAGGGGGGGAAAAAGCCCAGAAAGCCAGAGGCAAACGTAAATTTAAGTCTCTAAAATTCTATTACACTGTAAATACAGGAAATATGTGAAGAGGGCACCGTGTTAAGACCAGCAAAAATTCAAGTCTGACCACAAACGTTGTAAAGTTAGAGCAAAATAGGAACTCATACACTGCTAACAGGAATGACAAATGTTAATTTCTATGAACAGAGAACTTGTCAACTAGCAAAACTGCATATGAATTAACCCTTTGAAATTGCAACTAAAATTTTAGGAAGCTATCCCATAAATATATTGCAGAGATTTTTAAAAACATATATATGCACAAAGGCTTTATTAAAACACTACGTATAACAGCAAGACTGACAAAAACCTGTGTTCATCAACAGTGGACAAACTAAGTATCCATAGTCTCCAACCACTGAAGTGCTATATAACAGTAAAAGGGATGATCCAAGAACTCTGAACACTTTGCTGTAGAGGGATCTACAGAAATACTGCTAAGTTAAAAAAAAAAAAAAATCAAGGTGCCAAACAGTGTGGATAGCTTCCTCCAAGAAGGGAGGCATATAATTATACTAAAAACAAACAAACAGCCAGGTGCAGTGGGTCACGACTATAATCCCAGCACTTTGGGAGGCTGAGGTGAGAAGACAGCCTGAGCCCGTGGGTTCAAGACCAGCCTGGGCAACTTGGTGAGAACTCCTCTCTACAATAAACCGAAAAACAAAACAAAACAAAAAATCAGCCAGGTGTGGTAGCGCGCCCCTGTAGTTTGCCTACTTGGAAGGCTGAGGCGGAAGGATCGATGGAGCCCAGCAGGTTGAGGAGCCCAGCAGGTGGCTGGAAGCGTGCCACTGCACTCCAGCCTGGGCAACAGAGTGAGACTCTAACTCAAAAAAAAAAAAAAAACCACAAAAAACAGAAAAAACAAAAAACAAAGGCAGGCTTAAATCATAACATTTTTAAAACAGGTTGCCTATGTGGAAAAAGAAAGGAACAGAGGGAAGGAAAATTCATCCTTGTTGGTTCACATGAAGAGACTTAGGGAACAGACACGGGTGGCAGGGCACCCAGGGAGGAGCCCCAGTGAGATTCTCCAGGGAGGGCCAGGGTGCAGAGCTGGCTTTGTGAAGAAGCGCTTGGGCCCTGTGGTTTGGACCGCAGGGTGTGAGGGAAGTCCCCTGGCTCCCGCCTCTGCCTGTGGGTCTCCACCAGTGATGCTCATCGCTACGCCCCAGCTGGGGAGCCCAGGCGGTGACCTGTGCAGGCTCATCCTCCCAGGGCCAACCAGGACAAAACCAGATTTCTCTGATTATTACTTCTTTTGTAGGTGTGACATTGGAGCCATGTATAAAGGTTTTCTATAATTGCAAAACAAATGAAAAGAAAAAGCAATTCCTCACAATACAAAACAAACAAAAAAATAAACCTAATTCTCTATCCAGTTGGTAGACTATCAATCAGGAATAAATAAATTCAGATGACTTCCAAACATAGTAATGTAAACATGCATTCCCAATGGGATAGTGTCACCAAAAACAACAAGGAAACAAACCAAAGCAATTTTAAAGTAATTTTATGTTGGTTTTGCTATTATGAAATTATTATATATATTAATAAGACAAGGCAAATAAGTTATTAAATTAATAGCATTCAGAATCAAGAAAGTAAACTAAAAAGCCATTAAAACAAGATGACTGACATATTTGACAACATAAGAAAATACATTTTTCCCAAGGCATAAGCAATGACAAAAGACCACTGAAAAACCTGAGTTAAAAAATTAGCAGGCCGGGCTCGGTGGCTCAGCCTGTAATCCCGTGCTTTGGGAGGCTGAGGGGAGTGGACTGCCTGAGTCCACAGGTTTGAGACCCGCCTGGGCAACTTGGTGAGACCTCTTCTCTACAACAAATCAAAAAATTAGCTAGGCGTGATGCCGTGCACCTGTAGTTCCAGCTATTTGGAAGGCTGAGGCGGAAGGATCGCCAGAGCCCAGCTGGTCGAGGCTGCGGTGGCCGGGAGCATACCACTGCACTCCAGTCTGGGTGACAGAGTGAGACTCCAACTCAGAAAAAAAGAAAAAAAAAAAAAATTAGCAACAGTTGGGCTTGGTGGCTCAGACTGTAATCCCAGCACTTTGGGAGGCTGAGGTGGCCGAGGTGAGTGGATTGTCTGAGCCCATGGGTTCAAGACCCGCCTGGGCAACTTGGCGAGACCTCATCTCTACAATAAATAAAAATTGGCTGGGTGCGGAAGCGTGAGCCTGTAGTTCCAGCTACTTGGAAGGCTGGGCGGAAGGATCGCCGGAGCCTAGCACGTCAAGGCTGCGGTGGCCGGGAGCGGTCACTGCACTCCAATCTGGGTGACAGAGTGAGATTCCAACTCAAAAAAAAAAAAAAAAATTAGCAACAAGTAGTTCACAGCAAGGGGCCAGTTTTTCCAAAATACTGTATTTCTTCAATTCCATTAAACTGTTTGTTATAAGAGACATCATTCTTTTTTCTTTTGGGGGCTGGGGTCTCTCTCACCCAGGATGGAATGCAGTGGTACCATTACAGCTCACTGCAGCCTCTACCTCTTGAGCTCAAGTGACCCTCCCACCTCAGCCTCCTCAACAGCTGGGACTATACACAGGCATACACCACCTACCATGCCTTGCTAATTTTCAAATTCTTTGTAAAGATGAGGTTACCTATGTTGCCTAGGCTGGTCTTGAACTCCTAGACTCAAGCAATCCTGCCACCTAGGCCTTCCAAGTGCTAGGATTACAGGCATGAGCCCCCATACTTGGTCAAGATGCACCATTCTTGTATATACTACAGTGCAAAATTCCTTCCTTCCTCTCTCCCTCCCTCCCTCCCTTCCTTTCTTTTTTGAGTCGGATTCTCACTTTGTCGCCCAGGCTGGAGTGCAGTGGCATGTTCATGGCCACTGCATCCTCAACCTGCTGGGCTCAGGTGATCCTTCTGTTTCAGCCACCATGCCCAGATATTTTTTTGATTTATTGTAGAGATGAGGTCTCACCAAGTTGCCCAGGCTGGTCTCAAACCCGGGGGCCCAGGCAATCCTCTCACCTCGGCCTCCCAAAGTGCTGGGATTATAGGCGTGAGCCACCACCCATCTTTCTTTTTCAAAACAAGGTTTCACTATGTTGCCTAGGCTGATCTCAACTCCTAGCCTCAAGTGTTCCTCCTGCTTCAGCCTCCCAAGTAGCTGGAATTACAGGTCAGCCATTGCACCCAGAAAAAAAAAAAATTAAATAAATAAACCATGTCATGCTATCATTATAACATGTGTCTAGATTTCTGGGATGCCAAATTGTGGGGGTGGTAGGGGAGTGTCAAACTCAACATAAAGAATTCCTACCAGTAGTACTCTAAAGATCAAACAGCAAGATGGGCAAAGTATATATATATATATATTTTTTTTGAGTTGGAGTCTCACTCTGTTGCCCAGACTGGAGTGCAGTGGCTGCTC